ATGAATTATTCATCTTGTATTGGTTATTAAGTCATTTCGCAAGTAGCAGTGTCTTGATGTGTTGCTCATACTGAGACACTGTGTATTCGTGTGATTGATGCAATTCGCATGCTCATGTTTTATTAGCCAGTGGCTGTATGATGCATTGTTTAATTACTCATAGTTATTGCAGACCATGGTATTTCTGCTGGTTGACATGGGAGGTTTGGGAGTTGCTTGCACAGTTATTCCCGGCCTAGAATGTGACCCGTGGGAAGGGTGACTGCGCGTAAGCAAGATCTGCATGCAAAGGTAATGAGTCTGTGTTGCCATTAGTAAAAGAAAGCAGTGCTTTTTCCTCAGTAAATGAAACTCGAGTTAACTGAATTTGCTAAACAAAATTTGTTTTCTAAAAATTATTTGGTAATGGCCAAAGCACCTATTTATTTCATCTAGAGCTGGGAGATACTTATTTGTATCTCTCTGAAATTAGTAGTCAATTTGACAGTTAAAAGATTTGTACCAACAAAGATGGACATCTTTGGTTAAACAACCTTTTTTTGATTTATTTTACTTTTAATGTATAACACCAGTTAATTGTTGTTTCTGAGATCTTATGCCATGCACCACGCTGCAGTGCCCCCCTTGTGCACTTTCTCTCAGGGGAGATGTAAACGAGAAACCTGCTCCTTTTTGAACATGAACTTTATTTGGAGTTGTGGTTGCTCGTTTTCCTTTTGTTTTGCTTTGTTCATTTGTCTCTTTTAATTCTATTTTGTTGTACTTTTTCAACATGTTCAAAATAAAGATTAAATCAAATCAAATCAAATCAAGACAGACATGTGAACCAGCATGTTTCAGAACTTTGATATAGAAAATGAATGGCTCTATGTAGGGTGTAATCTGGTGTGGTTGTTAGTGGAGAAATGTGAACCTACACTAACGTGTGGGAAAAGAAGGCGCCTGCTAATGTCAACCACACTCTGCAGGCTAATAATCAGGTTTTTATTTATTTAGTTTTTTTGTGCGTGTGTGCAATCTTATGTGTGATGTGATACATTTTGTATTTTAGTGAAGAATTGGTTTCGGAAGGCCCTTAAGTGGTTTTGTTACAGTTTTTAGTCTTTTTGCTGTTTATTTATCTTGTTTTGGGTCCTATAACTAGCGAATTGGTCACAGGCAGTTGCTAACGCTACTAGGTAATCCTCTAATGTATTTACTTCACCCTCATATGTCAGCACTACCCTTCACTCCTGTTGAAGGGTAGTTGTTTGAAATACTCACCTGAAAGTTGAGAGAAATAACTCAGGATCTACTCACTTGGTTGTTAATGCTTATTTCGCCTGCCATGACTGTAGGCCGCCAAAATTCAGCGGCATTCTATTCCCTGATTTCTATATTGCTGCTAGTGTCTTGATGTATTAGATGACCCCTGGACAAAACCATTAAAGGCTTTCAAATTTTGTCACGGTTAGGGTGCCTGAGAATTCCAATGTTTAAAGGATTTGTTGCTTTTCTTTTTTGGAGGTGGTGGACTCAATAAGCCAAAAGGCAAGATGCTCTCCGTTTGATTCAGTACCCGCTAGAATAGGAGAAAAAAACAAAACGCTTGACTAAAACTATACTTAAGGTAGTACATGTGTTATGTAAGACCGTCTTCTTTGAGTGTCCTTCATCAACTAAGCATTACTTCTCAAAGTAGTCCCACTTGGGAATATAAAACAATGCCGTTTGTGCATTGAACAAATGTGTATTTTTAGGGCAAGGGTAGGCTGATGGCTGAAAGAAAAGAGAGTTTGATGATATCATAGTTGGCTTGCGTCAAGCCCTTTTTTTGTGTTTAAATATTTTTTTTCACTCTAGAATAAAAAGATCATTAGTATGAAAGCTTTTCTGCCTAACGGCATCATTTCTGAGTGATTAATCAATATTGATCAGGTGACCAAAAAAGCCCTTGTATCTGTTGCATCAGTGATTATTTTACAGGTAATTACACACACTCTAAATAAACTGGAATGCAGGCCTTTTCCAGAATACCTAGTTGTGGTGCCCACTTTCAAGTGCAAGGCAAAATTAGCAAATGAGTCAACCCCCGCCATCTCTCTCCCTCTCTCTTTTTTTTTTCCCTCCTCCATGTCTCTCTCGTGTGCCTGTTGCCATGGTGATATGACACGCAAGCAGAGGAGGTCAGATGAGACATAACGGAGGGGGGCTGGAGGTGGCAGTGATAGAGGGCGGGCTGCCTAATAAACCACGATTGTAACAGCTGAATTGTTGAATATTTTTCAGCAATAGGGCATCTGCAGCAGTATTGCAGAGTTCATTTCTCCCCGAGTAAGTTGGCTGTCTTAGACTGTCACAAACGTTGTATTGATACCTTAACCCTCCGCAGTCACCACCAGCAGCCTTTCTCAGCAGATTTACCCGTGTGAAGTGAAACGTTTAAGTTGGCTCCCTTGTCCTACAGATATATGGAAAAAAGTGTGGGTTGCTGGAGCACCTCTTAGACTGAGATGAGCGATAAATACTACCCAACTAATACTTGAAAGAAAAGAAAGTTGTACAGTTGCATGGAAAAGTATGGAGACCCCTGAAGAATATCTGATTTAATTAAAAAGAAAATATTTTTTTTTTGTTTGTCTTTTTTGCGCTGGAAGTATCGATGGTGTCCTGTTTTTGGTTACTTCTTGAGTTCAGTCCTTCATCAATATTTACAGTGTTAATATTGTAAACCTTCTTGACTTTGGTTGAGAGGCAAGTGACATTGTTGAGGGCAGCAGTGTTTCAAAAATTGAACTATTTATAACACAGAACGCTGTGAGCACAGTGAGGAGGGGAAAAAGAAATCCCTATGCTGACGGCCTTTTTGCGCTAAGGACTTTGTAAGTGCTGACGTTCATTGGACTTGTATAGAAAATATATACTGAGACGGCAAAAAATAGCCTGTGGAAATTGGTCTATAGGCACATATCACAGCAGTTTTTGTTTTCCTTCTTCTTTGTCAAGGAACTGTCTTTGCCACACCTTTTTCTGAGATATTTTTGGGCAAGCATGGCACATGCCTAAAACAGCTGGAAACTGTTTTTCAACTGCTGTTTGATTTAAAAAAAAAAAAAAAAAAAAAAACTTGAAACCTTACTTGAACATAATCAAGCTTAAATTAAGAAAAACGAGCAGTGCCTAAACAAAATTAACTGGAGGAGCATTTCAACTATGATGAAAGTGATTTCTTCCAGGATGACTATGCTCCCTTCAGTAATGCAGAAATGGTTGCTGCATGGTTTGAGCTTGAAAGGAGAGAAAATACTCAAAACAAGGCACCTTGCAGCAGTTCTCAAGCTTACTAAGGTTTAAGTCGTCACCATATGTTCAGGTTCATCTGCTACTGTATTCAATTCTTTAGCTAATAAATTAATGGGGTTCTCAATCACAAACTCTACTGTTACTGTTTTTATTACACTAGAAACAACATTTGGGTTACATTTTGTAACTTGGTTTTCCCATGAAGAACCTGCAAAAGGTATATCCGCCCCAGGGTCAAACTGTACAGTGGAGGCTCAGCCTGTTTTTAAATGCCTTAAATTACACCATTTAAAACATTTTCCTTGCCAATGCCTTATTTTCTTAAATTCTTTATCCCTAAATTAGTTTTGTGTTTATTTTATTTTATTTTTTATATATAAGCCATTTTATTTTTCTGTGTGGGAACCTAATGGCTTTTTAGCAGAGTGTGTTAACTATGTGAAGTGTGGCCTTTTCTGAGAATTTATTTTCTTCACCATTTGTGGTAGGACCATTTTAAACCAGGACATGTTGCTTTGGGGAGAGAGAGAGAGAATGTATATTAGACTTTATCATTATTACCTGCTTAACTTGAAGCAGTGTATTTAAATTGACAGCAAAAGTTACTTTCACTTTGTCCCGGATAATCAATTAACCCTGAAGATTTGTTTTACAATTTCTGAAGTTTAATACAGGGTTTTGCCTTTAGTGGCTTTAACGTTACCTTTGATACTGCTGCCCTTCCACCACAACAAAAATAAACCATCTTTGATTTTGAGAGACAATGCAGGAGGGTGGACTGTCAGTGAAGAAAAAACCCCCAAAAACTTAGCCATGCTTTCATGGACTACAGACCATTTTACAAATAACTGCCCGTTGCCAAAATCTTAGAATTGCCAGTCTCATTACAATTTCTGGATACACTCAGATAACAACAGTTCCAGACAAGCTCCATAAAAAGCCTCAGTCACACCAGGCCTCTTATTGTATTACTGCTGGAAACTACTGTTTTCAGTTTACATTAATTTATTTCAGCGTCTTATAGAGTGGGTCGTGATGAAGAGATTTGAATTTTGCTCAGCGAGTATATGCAGCTTTGTATATACTCGCTGGTTTGTATTTGTTCAATTGGAGACTGCATCCTTCTTTACCCCAAGGTTTAGTACTTTAAATGTTTGACCAGTTTCCTTTTTTTGAACTGTAAACACCTTAACAGGGACCACTAAGGTGAACTTGTGTCAGGTGTAAATCAAAAATCACTCAACAGGCTTCAGCCAGATATAAGAGCTTAACATAAAAATATTATTGGCTCATAATGTTCTGCAAAAACACTTTTGTGGCCGTTATTCAAGCCATAAAGTCGGGATAGAATTTGGCGTTGTGGGGAATACTGGCGTAAATTGGTGTAGATAGAGGAATTTAATCACTACACATATTCCATGAACTTTACTGGTTGGACACATCTGTTTTATTCTTTGCCATGTGGAAAGCACTTTGTAACACTGCCTTTGAAAGGCGCTAAAAAAGGAAGTTGTTGTTGTTGTTCAGGGTGTACAGAGACAAAAAAAAAAAGACAACATGGCACTTTCCCTTCTGGTTTTCCACCTCACCTCAGAGTCAGTCAGTTCAGTCATTTCCTTTCTTGTTACTCTGGGCTTTGTGAAGGAGAGATCAGTGTACCATGATGACTGTGCATTTTTTGCTCCCTGTGTAATTTTCCCTCTGACCCTTTCTTTACAGAAACAAATCATTGTGGACCCCCTGGCGTTCAGCGAGGAGCGCTTCCGCCCTTCCCTGGAGGAGCGCCTTGAGAGCATCATCAGTGGTGCTGCCCTCATGGCTGACTCTTCATGCACACGTGATGACCGCAGGGAGCGCATTGTGGCCGAATGCAATTCTGTGCGCCAGGCTCTCCAGGACCTTCTGTCTGAGTATATGGGCAATGTAAGTCTCTTTTCAGTTTTGTTTTCTTGTCATGTTATCTCGTCCCATCTTCTTTATTGTAGGCAGAACAATTTTCTAAGGTCAAAGGTTGTGCAACGGACTACAAACACAATTCATTCTGGCATGGATTGAGTTAAACTCTTAACATTTGACTTTATGTGAGTGTAATATGCGAGTCTTTACATAATCTGTTCCACTTGCAGGCACACCAATACCAACACATAACTGTCAGTGACAATTAATTCGATTATGTAAGTGATTACATAGCTAATCCTTGACCTTGCTTAATGTCATAAAGTATAGTACTCAATATCAACAGTGCTAACCACCATGCCACCGTGCTGCCCATAGTACTCAATATATAAACTAAATTGTGAAATGTGGTCTTACTCAATATTTTTTGTTGTGAACAACTTTTTAAACTGAAGTACTAGTTTGTTTCTGAAATTCAGCGGAAAGAAAAGACTTAGGAAAGTCTATACACATATAGAAAAGATGAGAAAAATTACAATACTAAATATTGCAGAGCATAATGACCAAGCTAGAGACAATTAAGCCCAGTCCACACAGGAAACTATTTGTTTGATGGTCATTTCTTGGTCACTGATGGTTGGTCATTAGTGGACATTCCAAGCTCCAAGTTGCCTTGGTGACCCCCTAATATATTTACTACCTTGTCATGTCAATCTACTGTATCCTGTGCTCTCATTGGTAGCTGCTTTAGTTGCTTGCCTCAAAGTTGAGAAGTTGATTTTTCAGCCATTACCAGCAGTTACTTCACCCACCATTGCTGGATGTCAGAACTGAGCCTGCTGATTTATTAAATGCTAAAATTACTATTCTGTCTGTAACAAAAAGTAATATATTTATTCCTGGCCTCGGCCCTGCATGCCATGCCTGTGAAATCTGTTTAGAATTTTAAGG